CAGTTACCTATGATTTTATATATATATATTGCACTTTCAGTTAATCCCCAACACACCCAGGTCTGTGCTCACTGTGCTGAACTGTAAAACACAGTGTGAATCAACTAATCTGCATGGAAAACTTAAGTAATCTTGTCTTACAACTCCGAAGCCCTCAGAATTTATGAATGATGGTAGAAGAATCCCATTCTTTTCTTCTCTAGAAACCTGATGGCCAATCTACTTTAGGGGATTTACCCTTTGCCAATCCTAGCCAAGGCAACTGTAGCACTATCAAACATACCACATTATAATATCTAGATACTGTAGCTCTTCAACTGGCCATATGCTAATGAGAGGCATGATGAAGAAAGATCATTGGTTATTTTTCTTGCAAGATCTATGGGATCAACACTTGAGACTTCTCAATAAATTTTCAGCATTGAATAGGGGTAGAGGAATGAGACTTTCCACAAGGCAGCATCAAAAACTGAAATCTATGCACTCTTAGGAAATTTTAAACAGCGCCTCAACATATGAACGAAAAACAGCCAAAACGGATTAAATGGTTTTCCTATGGGATATTTTGTCTCGAATTACAAACTTTTCAACATACGAACGCTGTTCCAATATGGATTAAGTTCGTAAGTTGAGGTACCACTGTAGACACTTTCCATGGTTGCGTGGCTGGCATGACTAGACACAGAATACCATACCTTCCCACCGAGGCAGTACCTATTCATCTACTTGCATTTGCATGCTTTTGAACTGGTAGAGAGCTGGGGCAAGCAATGGGAGCTCACCCCGTCATGCAGATTCAAACTGCTGACCTTTTGATTGACAGCCCAGTGGCTCAGCAGTTTAACCTTCAGTGCCACCCATATCTCTTTTGAGTCTTGTAAAGGCGTGGGTAAAAACCCAGGTTTTAACTTGCTTCCAAAAGCTCAGGAGCGTGGGAGCTAATTGCACCTCCACAGTAAGTTCCAGAGTGGGGTGGCCGCTACTGAGAAGGCCCAATTTCTGGTTGACAATTTATAGGACTCTTTTGGAGTCACCACCTGTAGCATCAAAGATTGGGAGGTATGGATGGAACAGAAGGATGACCGGAGGGACAGGTAGCAATGTCCTAAACTGGAAATTAACATTATTACCTTGAATTTGGCCCAGATGCATACTGGCAGTGAGTGCAAGAGGGCCAGGACAGGAGAAATATGATCAAATTTAGATGTATTAGTGACCAACCTAGCTGCCCCCTTTTGCATTTGCTGCAGTTTCTGAACCGTCTTCAAGGGCAGCCACATGTAGAGAGCATTGCAATAGTCAATCCTCATGATTACCACATAGGAGAGGGATGGATTCCCTAAAGGAACCCTCAGCCTTGATTTTACAGGAGTTAAACGGTACTGTTCATCTTGGAGACCTCTCATACAGTCCAGGCAACACTACCAGATATAAACCTGGAGTAACTTCTGACTTAAAATCCATTTGGCTTTTACAGATATGAAATCAGTGAACAAAATGAGTACAAATCTGTATGCATGACTTATGTTAATCTAAAAATGTCAATTAGTAGCCTCTTATTTATTTCGTAATTGACAAGCTTTTGACCTAGATTTTTAGCGTGACTGGGCTTGGGTGCTAAGCAGTGAATTCGTACTAACAATTTCATCAGACGGAAGGCGAGTAGGAGCAAGTCTTTAAGAAGCAACTAGACTTGACAGATAGTTAGTGTGGTGATGAGTAAGCGGCTGCCTTATTTTTTGCGCTCACTGCTTCTAACTCCTCACCAGCCTAAACATTTTGAACAAAGCCGTTCTCTACATGCTGACTCAGAACATGAGCCATTGAATTTAATGGAACCTCAGATACTGACTAGTACGCACTCGATGAAGTGCACCTCCTATCAGACCTATCAGCTAGCACAGCTAAGTATGAGACATGATGAGGACTGTAGTTCAGTGCATTCCCACACCTGGGTTAATAATATACTTTCAAAATGATTCCCTTCAAACTATATAACATACTCATCCAGAGACAATCATTTCATATCATTCACTTGCCAGTAAGAGTCTCTTTGTTCCAAGCAGTTTAAATTTTTCAGAACAAAATCAGCCAGAGATCAACTGTGGCATCAACTGGGCATTTCTTGAAGCTACAGTCCTATTAATCAGTTGCATGAAGTCAAGAGCTATGTATTTGCGAAGGCTTTCACGGCCGGGATGTAATGGTTGTTGTGGGTTATTCGGGCTCTTTGGCCGTGTTCTGAAGGTTGTTCTTCCTAACGTTTCACCAGTCTCTGTGGCCGGCATGAGCACAGAGTGCTGTCCTCTGAAGATGCCGGCCACAGAGACTGGTGAAACGTTAGGAAGAACGACCTTCAGAACACGGCCAAAGAGCCCGAAAAACCCACAACAACCATCAAGAGCTATGCATTATGGGAACACAGAGGAAAAGAGAATGAATGTAGATTCAGATTTTTAACAAATGAAGATAAATGTTTGCATCCGTCCTTTCATAGAGGAGCCATGCACGTCTGTTGCAGCAAAAGAACAAAATATCACATGACACCTACAAGAATATCAGATTAATACAGCATTGCTTAGAAATAACTAATTACAAGTAATGAGATTAAACAGTCATGAGGTGAATAGTTAAAAACTTTCAGTAAAAGTAGTGTAACAAATAACTAGAGAATATTTAAAATGTAATAAATATTGCTTTTCAGTTACTTTCAGAAATTCCTTTTACATGCATTTCAAGGCATTTATGGAAGCATTTTGACAGAATTCTTTTTAGGCCATTTTCCTATTAATCCTAAACACTAGTGTTTAGTTTTGTATTTTGTTTTTACAGAGTGCAACATCAGAATTGGTCACTAGAGGCAACCATAAAATACTGCTTTGCATCTTTTTGTAGTTAACCACAAATCAATTATGAAACCAGAGTAATCATAAAGACAACTTCATAATAACAATAACTGTATGCTGTCAAGTCAATTCAGACTTTTGGTGACCCATTTTCTGGGTTTTCTAGGCACAATGTACTCCCTTTCCCTGAGGGTTCCCTAAAACAGCGCAGCATCCCCAAGACCACACAGATTGGCTTTTCTGGATGCATAGTGGGGAACTGGACTCCCAGACTCTCGCCTTCTCTAACTCACAGAGCCAGCCAGCCAGCTAGGCAAAGAAAATGTGGTTCCAAGAAATAGTGTACTTCAGTAACTTATTTTTAAAACATAACATTCCCATTATGAGATTGCACTCCTTCTGGACGCGCAGGTAGGCAGCCTTGAGGTCCTCCTTGATTCATCTTTATCACTTGAGACTCAGGTGAATGTGGTGGCTTAGAATGCCCGGGGCCATTTCTGATTGGCTCACCAGCTGCAACAATTCCTTGACAGGGACAACTAGGCGATGGTCATTCATGCATAGGTAACGTCCTGGTTAGGCTACCGTAATGCACTTTGTGATGACCCAGATACTGCAGTGACATTGGTCATCAATACGCTTCTGGTCTGAGATCAAGGAGAAGATGATAACCTACAATGCTCTAAACAGCTTGGAACCTGGACACATGAAAGAACACATCTCCCTGTATAGGGTGCCCCAATTACTAAGATCTTGCATGGGGTGGGGACCTCCTCCATGTCCCACCATGGAAAACAATCCACTTTTGCAGAGATACGGAGGGCTTTCTCAGCTGTTGTTGTTGTTCTTGTTTAGTCGTTAATTTGTGTCTGACTCTTCGTGACCCCATGGACCAGAGCACGCCATGTTCTCCTATCTTCCCCTGCCTCCCGGAGTTGTGTCAAATTCATGATGTTTGCTTCAATGACACTGTCCAACCATCTCGTCCTCTGTCATCCCCTTCTCCTCTTGCCTTCACTCTTTCCCAACATCAGGGTCTTTTCCAGGGAGTCTTCTCTTCCCATGAGATGGCCAAAGTATTGGAACCTCAGCTTCAGGATCTGTCCTTCCAGTGAGCACTCAGGGTTGATTTCCTTCAGAATGGATAGGTTTGTTCTCTTTGCAGTCCAAGGGACTCTCAAGAGCCTCCTCCAACACCACAATTCAAAAGTATCAATTCTTCGGCAGTCAGCCTTCTTTATGGTCCAGCTCTCACTTCTATACCTCACTACTGGAAAAACCATAGCTTTGACTATATGGGCCTTTGTTGGCAAGGTGATGTCTCTGCTTTTTAAGATGCTGTCAAGGTTTGTCATCGTTTTCCTCCCAAGAAGCAGATGTCTTTTAATTTTGTAGCTGCTGTCACCATCTGCAGTGATCATGGAGCCCAATTAACTGTAGCATCCCTATTTATGACTGGTGCCAACACGAACTTCGTTTTGATGCCCAGTTAAAACATGTCAAGCAAAATTCAAAGAAACAAAACAAAAACAAAACAACCAAAAACATGGGGCACCTTAAAGACTAACTATTATATTTTAATCTGACCTTTCCTTTACACATCCACTTCGTCAGACATAGGGAGACAGCATTTGAATTTTGCCTGATACCCTTGCCCAGACTTACACGCCTCCCTCTTGCAAAACTACAAGTTAAAACATGGTTACTTACTCCCCAAGGCCTTTGGGGATTAAGGGAGGAGGCTATGGAGGCTTGTCTGTGGTTATTGGATTTTTAATGCATGTATATAGTTTTAGATGCTTAAACTTGAAAGCGAAGTTGTTGTTGCTTTTAATAGCACAATCTTTCATTTGATGAAACGGTCGGTGGTACACAGAAGTGAAAGCGCCGCTGGACCTTGGAAAACCAACGCAATGGAGAACTGCCATTGTGGATTGGGAGAAAGCAAGGTTTCCTGCATGCATGCGTGCATGCTTCCAGTGGAAGGGCTCCTCGCCCCCAACTTTTGCAGGGGAGGCAACCTCCCCCCCACCCACACCACAAGGAAACTTGGAAGACCCGCCCCGTTGCCTGAAGTGGGAGGGGAAAGAGGATGAGTTGGAGGCGTTTTCAAAACGGAGCCCTGAGGTCGCCTTCGTTCCGCCTTGCAAACGAAAACAAACCAACCCCCTTCCTGACCGCCTTTTTTTGTCCCCACACGCCCCAGAGAGAGAGAAAGGGAGGGATCGCCAGACTCCCTCTCCGGCGGGCAGACTCCGAGGCCGCGAGTGTGCCTGCCCGGCCGGGGTCCTTTGTCCCCCTGCCCTGTCCACGATGCAGTCCGGCGGCGGCGGCCCCGGCGTGGCGCTCAGCTGCGGGCTGGTCTTGGTCTTCGCGGTCCTGCTCCAGACCATCTGCGTGGCCATCACCTTCCTTTATTTCACCAACGAACTGCAACAGGTCAGTGGCCGGAGCCGTGGGCGGCTTTTGCGCTGGCGCTGGGGGGAGCCGGCTTTGCAAACAAAAGGAGGAGGATGCCTCGCGCGGCACCCCTCTGCTGCCGGGTCTCCTCAGGAGGAAGCCTCGCTTGCATCCAGCGGGGCTTAATCTCAGGGAAGCGGCTCGAGCACCGCAGGCAAGCCACATTTTTAAAAAATTCCCTTTTCACACTCGGACCTTGTACGTTGCAGCTGCTTTGGTCTGGCATTATTCGGTGGGAATCCCTGAATTCAGGACCGGATCGAGGCCCCCCGATTCCTTTTCCCCTCCTCTGCTAAAAATTGCTGAGATTTCTTAAATTTTGGGGCTGAACCAGACCAAGATTCAGGGTGTGTGCTTGTTGTTTTGCAAAGATCGCTGCAGAGTGATTTTTCGATGGGCTTACTTGGGAGTAAATTTCAGAGGGGATTTTTGTAATCTTGCTCCCAGGAAGGGCGTGGATCTTACGAACAACTGTTCGTCTTGCACGCTTTTAAAAAGCAGCAACTATGATTAACCCGTTTGCTTCCTTATCGGACAGAGACACAATGGCGAAAGTTAGGAAACGGGATCATTTTGCCTCAACTCCGGAAAATCTGGAGTACCGCTTGCTATATGTTTTTGCAGTGAGTGCTATACATTTCAGGAGCCCTAACTTCCGAGTAAGCCTCTCCTGAATAGGATGGAAGCCTTGTGAGTGCCTATTTGTCAGGAATTCCGCAGAGCAAATTTGCACAGCTGCCTGCCTGGAAGTAAATATTCGCTAGACTTCCTTCGGAGGAAGCGCCATCGGATCATGAAGAGCTGCTTGTAATATAGATGGACGACTAAAATCCTATGAACATCCTGTTTCTGCCGAGAGTAACTTCCCATGGGAGGCTTCCATTGAATATGTATTAAAAGCCCCTTTGCCTTTTCCAAATTTGGAAAAAAATTACTTACTTGGAGTTGGATTCTCAGATTTCCCCCAGTCAGTGTGGCCCATAACAAATGGGCACCTCTTTATTTCCCCCCTATTTTAAATGTGGGCTTTGAGTAATAAATGATCTGAAGCACTAAAGAGGAATCTTAAATGCACATCTATTGGGAAATGAAGGATTTCTTCAAGTTCTCCCCTTTTCAGTTCTTTCTCACTTCCCAACACTTTTATTTTCATATTGTAATTAAACTTTGTGCTATGAACGAACAGTCTTCTATTATGATTCTCCCTCTCCAGAAGTTTCCTTTTCAAAAAGGGGGCAAAGGAGAGAGGAGTAATTTTGGATTTGCTTTGTTGGGGAAAGCTGGATCCAAACATGCCTTGCACAACTTGTTTCATATCATGTTTCTTTCTCCTAAGTCATAAAAAGTGACCTTTTGCAGATAACCCCTTTTCTCTAACAATGAGTGATGATGGGTGAATTCCCTCTGCCTAAATTTGGAACTGTGTGTAGGGGAAACCTGTAAACAAATCTTTTGAGGATTGTTTCCAGGAAGAGCGCATGCGTGCTGATGATGCCACGTGTATGCGAGTTTGCAAGGTCCAGTTTGGGGATATGCACTGCCTTAAATCAGCCACCAGGAAGAGATGCTTAGAAATCTAACCCCTTTCCCTTTCTTGAAGAAAAGAAATAAGGTTACATTTGGTCATTGAGTACCGATTGCATAAAACTTGTTGGTATTGTTGCGTTTGACAGAAGGATAGAAAAATAGCACAGCGAGTTTTCGAAAGTCTGGAAAGAAACCATGGGATCAGGTATGCTTCTGGAAAATATTATTTATTTGCAATAAAAGGATTTCCCAAATCTGTTTGTAAGTTATTTGCCATGGCGGTTGGGAGATTGTGGGAAATGTAGTCTAAAAGAGGAACATTTCCTTGTCCACTTTTCTTTCACCCAAGGAGGAATATAAACAGCAAGATAATGTTTAAGATGTTGCCAGGATTGCCCTTTGCCGGACTAAATTGCAAAGGTGTCATAAACCACTCCGTCAGCCTCCACTCTGCAGTATGGAGTTAACAAAGACTAGTTGGATGTGCAGTTATCAGTTTCATTATAATTTAAAAAATACCACTAAGAAATAAATTTCAAATTTTAGATCATCACTAACATCCTAGGATTTCCCCCTTGCTTTTATGGGTATAGCGCTCACTTCTGCTCCTGGAAGAGGAAGCCAAAAGCATCAACCACCAGGAAGTTTTGTTTCCCCACATTCTTGTTTTTAACCCCGGCTTGGTGTTTTCCCAGTCTGTGTTTCCTGCATACTGGAAAGAGCAGTAAGGGCTGGATAAACCAGTAATTCATCTTGGAGGTACCTTTATATATTCCATTTTAAGTTATTAACCAGACTACTGTACTTCTTTCTTCAGCTCCTTCATCATAAAAGAGTGCAAGTTTGTGAAGCTTCAGCCATTCCTTATAAGAACAGTGCTTGTTAACATATTTTAGAGAAACATGGAGTTTGCCATCTTAAGAATCATCATGGTTTTCATTCTTTTTCTTCTCTTTAAAATAAATAAAATCCTCAACATTAATATTAGCAGACAAAACATTTCAAAAATGGGTGGTGAAACTGGCAGATTTTAACACATTTTGATACAGAATGTTGCAGGCCTGTTCCTTGCCTTGTTTCATTTAGAACCCTACTTCTATAGGGTGGAGGAGCAAGGATTTTTGTTTAAAGTAGACTTTGGAAGGACTAGCTGGATAATTCAGTAGTTTAGGCATCTGGCTGCAGAGCCAGAGTTTGGGAATTGGATTCCTTTCTGTGCCTCTTATGATTAGAGCCAGCTTGCGTATGCCTTGAGCTAGCAGCAGTGTCCCAGGATGCCCCCAGAAGAACCAAATAGTAAGCCATTACTGAAAAGAATTGCCGTAAGTCAGAATTAACTTTGCGGCACTGGGTTGTTATTAGAATGTGGAAAAGTTACCTGGCTGGATTCCCAGAATCTCTCAAAGAGCATGGCTGGAGATTCTTGGGAGTTTTCAAAAAGCAAAGAAGCAGAAAAGTAACTTCCCTTCTCTGCTTTAAAGTAGCAAGAACTTCCTATGTTGGTTGTCTGTTTCTTAGCTACGAAATCCAAGCTCTGTATGGACTCTGGTGCAGATAGGCCGTCTGATTGCTTTCCAGATGTTTTAGACCACAGATCCCATCAGTCCTTGTGAGCACAGCCCGTGACCAAACATAATGACATTCCAAAGCATCAAGAGGCCAGGAGATGGTATAAGCCCTCTGAAGTGTTTAATACAGCTTTCCGTCAGGGCTGTTTTAATAAGGACCTGCAGTAAAGCTTTCTCTTACAAAGGAAAGAGGGATTTCTTCTTCTTCTCTCTCTCAACAAAATCAACAATAAACCTCTTGGAAACCTTTGGACTGCAGCTTGGCATGGAGTGAAATAGGCTGGAATTCCAGGAAGGTCATGCTGAGTAATGGCTGATAGTCTTTAAGGTTGACTGCACGCTTTGTAGGTTGTTGCTGCAGCAGACAACAGACCCAACATTGCTGCTTTCTTGGGAATTCATGCCCTTGCTCTTAAAGCTCTTAACTGCCTCTTTTCTAGGTCATTCATTCAACCCTTTATCAGTTTTTCATATATATTTTTCCGAAATTGTTTACTTGCATACCTAGACGCTTTATTTTTGCCTGCTGTTAGCAAGAGTGAAACTGTAGCTCTGTCCAGAGTTCAGAATCAGCTGTTTCCTGGTAAAAAGTTTCTTTGGAGCAGTGTGAATGGCTGCATCAACGTATGCTCAGTATTTCTTCAGGGCGAAGAAACCCTTTATGTATGGTGCAGTATGGGAATGAACTATTGCACACGCACAGAGAGGTCCTATTTCACAGGCAGATGGATCTGAGCAGCGGCTCCTATTTGAGAGGGTGGACTTGACTGCCCCAGGCTGCTCTGTTTGAGCTGATGGGCAACGCTGGCTTGGGGATTCTGGGAACTGTAGTCCACAAGTAACATTTACCCAAGCGCTGTTCTTCAACACAGGCACAACAGGCTATGCCCATGCTAAATCAACAACTTCCAAATCTGTTCCATTTAGATTCTTGAAGCTATTATTTATGGTTCAGAGTATATTCTGGAACTTGGAAAAGTTACTTTTTCAGCTTCTCTGCTCATGCTATCTAGGGGGTTCTAAGTGTCTTAGTCCAAAGTAACATTTCCAGGTCTTCGCATTTTCAGACTGCCATGAAAAGAAGCAGGTGGGTAAATTTAGTTTTGGCAATGTGGTTGTAGCCTCTTTGCATTTTGATCTGGTTCCATCTGTGTCTTTAAAACTGAGCAGACAAAAAAAATCAACAACCAGTGAGATTTCTCCCTGCTAGGCACCTTTCCGAGAACCAACCTGCAACAGAGTCTCCGGTAATTCTGCACATTGCAGACCATGTTACCTAAATAGAAAGCACTGCTTATCGCAAGAGGGTTAACTCCTCCGTATAGTGTTACAACTAATTGCAGAACTCTTTGTGGGCTGAAGCAGTGGTGAAAATAACCAGCCTTAACTGAAATGTGTCACAACTGTTGGTCTAGAAATGAGAAGGAGGAATTTACAACCGTGTGGGTTGGATCAGTGACTTTCATGTCTGGTTATAGAGAAGTTGCTACCAACCCTGTTTTCCAGAAGAGTTGAGAGAACCGATTTGGAACAGAGTTTCAGGTCAGCACATTGCAGACCATGTTACCTAAATAGAAAGCACTGCTTATCGCAAGAGGGTTAACTCCTCCGTATAGTGTTACAACTAATTGCAGAACTCTTTGTGGGCTGAAGCAGTGGTGAAAATAACCAGCCTTAACTGAAATGTGTCACAACTGTTGGTCTAGAAATGAGAAGGAGGAATTTACAACCGTGTGGGTTGGATCAGTGACTTTCATGTCTGGTTATAGAGAAGTTGCTACCAACCCTGTTTTCCAGAAGAGTTGACTTACCAGTCCTTCATCCCACGCTATCTGGAGATGATGGGCATGATAGAGAACACACTTCTGCAAGATATTAAATGGGGGAAGCCTCCTTCTTGCACACAGGCAGTGGATCTACAGGCAAGTCTGTTGATCTGTTGAGTTTGGTGTCCTATTTTTGGACAAAAACTGACTTCATCTCACCATATGTTTAGATTCTGAGGTTTTCAAAACAGATTTATTTTTCAGTGGGGGTTTCCTGAAGGATAAGAAGCAACACATTCCTCAGTCTCTGCAGTTTCCTCTCCAGGTTGGCTTTGCAGAAGTCTCGGCAAGTCTTCATGGGGAAGGGGAATACGGATGCAATATGTATGTGCATGACAGCACTTCACACCTGTTGATGTGCATAAGCTGCAGCCCTCATTTGCAGGTTGCCACATTTCCAGTCATAACAGTTCTGTTTTTATATTGCTGCCTGCTGAAAAATCTTAAGGTGCCTTTCTGTGACATACATCCTATATATTTGATATCTTTCCTTTCTTTAAAATGGCTCGGGATACAGTAAAAGTAATTTTCTCTCTAGGCGTCTTTTGTAGTTAGACTCTGGAGAAGAATTTAGAGTGTGGGAAATTGTTCAGTAGATGGGAAAGAACAAAATTAATGCAAGGGGTGTTCTCATTTTGATTTTGAAGCATCAAGAAATACCCAAGGAAAGGTGTGGCTTTCAAGGGCTGTGTATTTTCTGGGCCAGTGGTTCCCAGCCTTAGGTAACAGGTGTTCTTGGACTTCAACTCCCAGAAACCCTGGCCAACACAGCTGGTGGTGAAGGCTTCTGGGAATTGCAGTTCAAGAACACCTGGGTTACCCAAAGGTGGGCACCACAGTTCCAGCCCAAAGCTGACACTAGATTGGAGTCCCTTGTCGTGGCCTTGTCCTTTCCTTTCTGCCCAGGATTAGTACAACCTTCTGACTCATATGTTGTGAGAAACCATCCACAGTCTCCAGAGGGCAGTAAATTTTCCGCTGCTCTGTCAGTTCTGAGATGAAACCAAGCCATAACAAGCCAGGCAAAATTGTTCGGCGACTGCCTTAAGCTTATTTCACAGTGAAGAAGAAGAAAAGTTAAAAGTACTTATGGTTTTAGGCTTTTTATTATGTAATCGCCCTGCATCGGGCACTTTCAGAATGAAAGTTTCCAGAAAATCTGCCTGCATGTCCAGTAGCTATACTGAATGGGTGATTCTGAAAGTTTATTTATTTATTTTGATTTCTGTACCACTCATCCGGCTGCCAAGGCCACTCTGGCCGGTTTACAACAACTAAACAATAACATAATCACAAAACTCAACAACGTCCATAAAATATAAAGGTGCAAAACAAAGATACCATAAAACACAACGAAAAATAAAATAACATGAAAAGCAGGGTGGTAGATTGGATGTTACGTTATATGTGTGTCGTGTACCATCAGGTCACATCTGACTTGCCGTGGCCGTAATATGTTTTTTTGAAGGAATGTGAGATATTTAAAGTTGACTTGCCGTTGCCATAACGTGTTTTTTTTGAAGGAATGTGAGATATTTAAAGAGTGGTTTTACCATTGCTACCCCCAGATCATCAAGTGTAAGGATGTGTCCCTGAAGACCAAGACCGAGATCATCCACACTCTTGTATTTCTGATCACCATGTATGTGTGTGAAAGCTGGATAGGAAAGAAAGCTGACGGGGGAAAAAATGGATTCAAAAATGCGGCATTGGAAGAACACTTTGCAGATCACCTGGACTACCGGAAAGACAAGCAAGAGGGTCCTAGATCAAAGCAAGCCGGAGGCAGAAATATTGAAGCTGAGGCTGTCAAATGCGGCACTGGAAGAACGCTTTGCAGATCACCTGGACTACAAGAAAGACAAGCAAGCCTGAACTATCGCTGGAGGCAGAAATATTGAAGCTGAGGCTGTCCTACTTTGAGCACATCATGAGAAGACAGGATTCTCTGGAAAAGACAATAATGCCGGGCAAAGTGGAAGGCAACAGGAAAAGAGGAAGACCAAATAAAATAAATGGACTGACTCCTAAAGGGAGCCACAAGCTTGACTTTGCAGGAGTTGAGGAGGGCCGTTGATGACAGGACATTTTGAGATCACTCATTCCTGGAGATACCATATGTCAGAGGTGACTTGACAGCTCATAACAAAGATGATGTTAGCCTCCTTGAGTCTTTTTTAAGGAGAAAAGAGGGGTATAAATAAATAAATAGTGTGCCTTTTTTTTTCTTGCCACTAAAATCCATGAAGGAGGGAAGGATGGAATCGCTGCAGAGTGTCCTTTGATTGGTGGCACCGGGAACTGTCCAGCTGAAAACACCCTGAATCATCTTCAGTCTGGAGCTTGACCCTCATATTGCTACTTTTCTTTGGCCACGATGAAGCACGATTTTAGACATCCCAAATTTCCAGTTTGTAATCTGTGCTGGATACAGAATTTGAGTGATTGCTAGATTTTTATATCTTCGCCCTGCAAAAAAAAGAGGATGAGCTATCAGCCCTATATTCTCCCAAGACACAGTTAGGCACTCTACCATCTTTTGAACCCTGTTCTTTTTTTAAAAAAAAAACTCCTTTCCCTTTCTTGTACTGAAAGAACATTCTGTATACAGTAGTACCTCAGTTTACGAAATGAATGCGTTCTATGGGATGTTACATAAAGCGAAAAATTCGTTAAGCTGAAACGTGGATTGCCGTAGGAACGGGAGTGGCGTTGCAAACCTCCAGGCACAATGCATCCTGGGGAAACCTTCTTCGTACTCTGTAAAAAAAACCACGTAAACCAAGGCATTATTTTCAATGGATTTTGCTTCGTAAACTAAAAATTACATTCGTAAACCGAGGGATGACTGTATAGAACTCTTTAAAAGATTTAGTGATATTTTAGTTTTTGCAAGTATGGTGCTGCACATGCTAGACTGGGATTTGGAAAATGAAAGGTTCAAGTCTCTACTGAGGCATGAAATTTGCTGGGCAAGTTTGTGCAGTAAGGTTTTCTCCTGACCTACCGCATAGGGTTGTTTTGAAAATGGGGATGAGAAGAGAGCCACGTATTT